GAGTGTCAGAAGGTAAGGAGGATCCAAAATCATGTAATCTATCACTGACACACAGACAGAGGATAAAACATGAAGAAATCTTACTAGTGTCTAGAAAAAGGCCATTCCTAAAAGACAGCACAGAGGCCCTGAGCACCAGATCTATAGAAGCCAACACGACCCTGCAGGCTGTGTAAAGGTGTCACAAAGACTATCCAGCACATGAGATGCAAGCTAGGACAGCGTACAACCAAGTGGCTGGGAGATGGATCCCCAAAAATCCATCTGGGACGGATGGTGTGAAATCTTTGCTTCTTTGGTGAATCTTACATGTGGAATCAACCTGAATACACAATCACTGCTTTGTAAAACAATTACATTTCACTGTGAAAACTTCACAATGAATAACAAACACAACCATCCTGATCTTCACTCAGTGCAGTTACATTGCTCTGACCTTTTCTCAGAAGCAGCTCGAATTCCTGTAAAATCGCAGAGAGAAGTGACATCATCTAAACTGTATGTTTTGCAGTTTTTATTAGTAAAGCATGTTTCTCACTATGAGCAGATTTGTCTTTGTGGTTTTTTGTTTTTCTTAAACACTACTTTCTGTTTAACCACCTACTTCCTGCCCCCTCTGTGATTCATGTAAAAGCTTAATGCTTCCTATAATCACTCCACTGTCTACAGCCTCCTGTAATGTCACATTTGTACATTTCAGTTGGTTACCAGTGGATTCACATGTTTCTGTGCTGCAGAGAAATCGTGCAGTATGTGCTGTTAACATGATAATATGAGACAGTGACTCACAGGCGATCAGAGGAATGTGGGAATTTTAATTTTAGGCAATGTTTCCAAGGTTTTAAATTTTTTTATTTATTTCTACTTTAACTTTCCTTCACTAGAAAATGTTGTTACAATAACCTGTGATCTACATTTTTATTTGAAGTTTAATTTTTACAGTGTACTTAAAGCAGCAGTTTGATCAAGTTAATATTGTTACAAAAAGGCTTTTGTTTTCAATGTTTTACAGCATAGTAACATTGGATTCATTAAAGTGATTTCCTCAGACACAGTGAGGCTCGTGACCTCAACCTATTTAAAGTATTTTTCTCGTCAGTGCTTTGCCACCTTCCTCGAAAAATGACAGCTGTGGGGGTTTTTCTTGCCTTTCTAGTCGGCCTACTGTTAGTATAGATTGACTCTGTGGTCGCAGCTGCTGTTATCTGATTTGGATTGCACTCACACATTTGCATTTGTGGGCAGATTTTTGAGATTTCTAAGCAAAGGCACACACAAGCTCTGTGTGTGTGTGTGTGTGTGTGTTTGTGTGTGTGTGTTTTCAGCAGCAAGCAGTGCATCAGTGGTAGATGGATAATTAATTTACTAAAAGGAGATAACACAGCACACATCCAATAATATCATTATAGCCTCATTTTAGCCACACAGACATAACCTGATTTAGTGACAGCCCTAAATCACACACACTGAGTGCTCATGATTGTTTTATTTTGCTTCAGCACTTTAACTTTTCCTCAAGTGAGACATTTAAATTTACCTGTAAACAGTGGCTGACACATTTAGACGATGGGTGCTGTGGGCTATCAAACTCACCAAAAAGAAAGAAAGAGGGTACATCCTGGACAGGTTTCCAGTCAACCTCGCAGATCCACACAACCTACACCTGCATCACCTGCATGTGAGGTTGCCAGTGTAATAATGTGAATTATTGTTTGCAAGATGGTTTGTTCCACAATAGATTGTGTTGCTGCACGGACGTTTTAGAGTGACACACAAGTAAGGATTGTTAGGCTGTATGTTGCTGTTGTACATGGCACAGGACCAATCGGAGTCGCATGACTTGTTAATAAAACTTACTACCCCGTTGGGTAGGAAATAGATATTCTGGAGTCTATCGAGAATGAGACCAGAATATAACAGCCAGAGTTCCCAGAGGGAATCCATGCAGGCACAGAGAGGATATGCAAACTGCACATGCAAAGGCCTCAGTTAGTGGATTCAAACCCAGGACCTTCTTTCTGTTTCACAACAGAACTAACCACTCCACCACCAAGCCATCTCAAACATCCTTTAAACTTTTCTACTGGCAGATTTCCAAAATCTTCCCAAAGTTTTACTTACAGGAGGTTCAGGATTATTGAAAAACTGGACTGTGCCAGTGTGCTGGTTGTAAGTAGCAAATATGAGCCTGTCCAGAATGATTGTAATGCACTAACCAACAACACTAATCCAACTCTAATTTGGGGTGTGCAGTATTTCTGGATTC